TCTGAACTAAACTATAACTTAGGTCCTATGATAATTAAGAAATGAGAAGGGTTGTAGATCTCGTAATTAGTGTATCTTCTTACAAAATCCTTGTATGATCTTAAACAAGTCTATAGGCAATTATATGAAGATTGATTCTTATATTACGTAGTGTCGGATTAATATATAGTAGTAATGATAGCCGTCTCTACTTCAAAGATCAAAATGTTTAGTGATTCAATGGTGGTGGGGGCTGGTAGCTTGGTGGTGTCTGGGTGGGGTTTTTTGTTGTTGTTTGGGGATGGGTTTTTTCTCTCTTTGTTGTTGTTTAGGCTGGTCTGGATGGTGGTGTATCTTTGTGGTGGTCCTGGTTGGTGGTTGGTTGCTGGTGTCGAGTTTGTGTGGTAATTCTCCTGGTTTCGTTAGATCTTCGCTCACCGTGTTGGTGAAGGGCTTATGTGTACTGCTGGTTGATGGAGATCTTGAATCAGGAAGGTTGCCGTTGTGTTGTTTTTGGGTCGTTTTTGGCATGGTTGGTTATGGGTTTCTATGGTTCTCCTTTTTCTGATAGAAGAAAGGAGAGTTGGCAGCTTCTTGGTTTGATGAATCCGGGTAGCCATTTGCCATGGTTGGTTATGGGTGATTTTAACGAAATCACCAAACCAAGTGAGAAGTCTGGGGGTGTCTACAGACCTTTTTCCCAAATGTAGAGGTTTTGTAAAGTGCACCTACTAACACTTGAATGCCTACAGGGGTATCTCGGACCCAAGTTTACCTGGAGCAACAAGAGGGAAGGGACTCAATTCACTAAGGAGAGGTTGGATAGAGCAGTCGTCAATCCCTCCTTTCTCTCTGTGTTTTCTGCCTGTGTGGTGCAGGTGTTGCCAGTGATTACGTCAGATCACAACCCATTATTGATTAACTGCAGCATCCAACATGACACTGGAGACTTCCACCGGCCGAAGTTATTTCGTTATGAAGCGACCTGGTCTGGAAAGCAGGACTGTAAAAAAATTGTTGAAGATGCATGGTCTCTCCCCCGGGTTCTGAGACATCCATTCCGATGGTTTAAAGAAGGTCTCGAACGCTGTCGAGTTAACCTCCAAAGTTGGGCCACGAGGAGTGCAGGTGCTCAAAGGGCAGAACTGAAATGTAATATGCAGAAGTTACTTCGGCTACAGAAAACTAATCGTGGGGAACTAAATGAGGTTATCAGAGATACTCAAA